GATTATAATTAAAGCTTAAAACTAACAAGCAAGAGGTTTTCAATTGTACTCAGACTTTCAAATGTATCTCAATGACAATCTTTCTAAGAAACCATAAAAACACTGAATAATTTAATCATTAAAGGAGAAAAAATGGCATTATTAAATAGTCTTATTCAAGCATGGCCAATATTGAAAAAATGTATAAACTAAAACCTCAGATAAGGGGAACTGTTTCAGAGCCAATGGAATATGTTTTTATTCCTTTCCTCATATGATACATTTTATTTGTATTTTGTATGAATTAAGAAATATATTTTACTATTAGTCAGCTGAAAAGGAGGATTGTTTAACCTCATATTGTCCAAGTACAGAATTTTTTGATCATTCTAATAATACCATAACCTTTCATAAGATTTAACAGCCATCTATCGGTAATAATAATAATTATGATAGCTAGAATTTACTGAGTCCTAACTATGTGCCAACCACTGTTCTGAGTTCTCTACCTGTATGCATTTAGTTCTTTTAAATGTTTCCATGTTAAAAGTCTGTTTTCACTAATTCTTTCCTTTTGTTTGTAAACAAACATGTTCTCTCACCTCTTTTACAGCCTCTTCTGTTTTTACCATTACTCCCTGGCCACCATCAGTTGGACCATGGTTCTTGCATCTGAAATCTTTTCCTTGCTACCATCTGTTCTCTCTTTCTACAGACATCTTAGGTGTTAATTGAACCTTCCTCTGGATTCTCTTCTTCCCCCAAACTAATATCCCATCGATCTCCTTCTTTTCAGTATCAAATTTTCCTATGAAACTATTGGCCTATCATAGAAGAGGGGCGCATCTAGGGAGAAGTTGGTTAATGGATGCAAAGTTACAACCAGAGAGGAGGAACAAGTTCCAGTGTCCTACAGCACTGTAGGGTGACTGTACTTAACAATAATCTGTTGTGTGTTTTCAAATAGCTAGAAGAGAGGAGTGTGAATGTTCACAGCAAAAAAATGATAAATGTTTGAGGTGATGGATATGTCATTTTCCTGGATTTGATCATTACACATTGCATACAAATATCGAAATATCACTCTCTACCCCATAAATGTGTACAATTATTACGTGTCAATTAAAAATAAAATAAAAATTTTTTTTCAAATAGTAATTCTAAATTATAGCTTGTTGAAATGGTGCAGGAAATAATTAAAATTACCTTTGAGGAAAAAATAACACAAGTGGCCTACACTCTGTCCTTCAATTTCTACATCGACTGTCTTTCTCCTTTACTATCGGCCATCTTCCTATTATTTCCTGATGACCTAATTGTTAAATCCAGTGACCTTTCCCAAGTCACCTGTGGCTGGAAAGCTCCATGTGGTATCTGATGGTGCCATCTCCTTGTGCCCAAGGACCACCAGTTTCCCTCATTCATCTCCCCCCTCTCTGCCATTACCCTGGTTGAGGCTCATAACACATCATGCCTGAATTATTGCACCTGCCTCCTAAGTGGCCTTTTTACCTCCATTCATCCTCTTCTCTTTAGTTCATCCAGTAGATCACCACTAGACTACTTGTCAGAAGCCACTGCTTTGAATATTACCCCCCTACCCCCAACCAAGCCTTTCCATGATGCTCCATCACCTGCCCAATAAAATCCAAGCTCCCTGCAGCTTCACAGAGAGCTCCCACATTATCACTCCAGCTTCATCTCCCATTCCTGTCATGTGTACTTACTGGTGTATTTGCTGGTCGTCCTGCAAGCATGTATCTTCTTCCCTCTAGGGTGTCTGCCCCTGCCATGGGAAACTGTTTCAAGTCCATTTGACAGTCCATTGACTGTTCAGGAGAAACTCAGAGCCTACATTATTTAGAGGAACTCCCCTCTAATTATCCATGTCATTAAAGGTTCTCTCCCTGTTCTGATCTGTTTGTACCACTTCTGTGTCTTTTATCACATGCTATTTTGTCTTGTACATGTTTTATCTCATACTGTTTCACCATCTAGATGGTAAACCATCTTGGCCCTGTTGGAAGTTTCCTAGGGGCTCCCTATAGTCTCAGGTAAAGTTTAAGTTCCCCATAATCTCAGGATAAAGTTTAAGGTCTTCTACACTTGATGCATGAGTCCCTAGATGGTGTGGTCCCTGCTTTCTTCTCTCCTCACATCTCCCACACTCCTCTGCACACACCTAAGAGCCAGCCATTCCCATCCACCTACAGCCCCCCACCCCATATGCTTTCATGCTTATTTGCCTTTGCTCACTTGTTTTATCTGCCTGGAAAGTTTCACTCCACTGCTTTTACTAGCCAAGCATGCCCCTCTTTCATGACTCAACGCAGGTGCCATCTCCTTCAGGATGCCTGCCACCCCACTCACTGAGGTGCGCACCTGTTATGCGTCCATAGCACCCTGTGGAACTGGGCCGCCTCTGTTTATCTGCCGACCCTCCCGTCCTGGGGACCATAAGTTTCCTACAGACTGGACACATCCATCTTTCCTTCCTGCATTCCTAGCGTCTAGCTCAGTGGCTGTTGGTGTAGTGAGATGAGGCAAGCGTGCATGGGGGAGGGCCAGCAGGTTACACAGGTAACCACAGGTGGCATTTACCTAGGTGAATTTACCACGACTCGGGGCCTGACTTTCAGGCTTAAGGCCTGGGAACTTGGCTTGCCATACTGAGAGTGGACTCATCACACAAAGGTAGAACCTTCTTAACCAAGCTCATGGAGGCTCATAAGCCAGCATGCCTGTGTACTGAATATTATTGAACAGGCCGACTGGACTGCCGCGGGCTCTGACCCTACCTGGGCAGCCTCCCCCCACCCTGTTTACATACCACTCAAAAGCCAATTCTCTCATGACGTATTTGCAGCCAGTCTATTTTATTTCATGATGTCTAATCACATGGATTGTGTATGGATTTTATTAGCTCACCTCTCAGAGAACGAACAACCTCATTTCCAACTTCTTGGAGAGGGATAGGAGCACTTTCCTGCAGTTTGTATGTACTGATTAACCTGGCACTTAATAAGTGTTAAGTAAGCATTAGTTGTGACTTGACCAGGTAGTTGCTGAATGGATAAATGAATGCAGATCATGCCTCTAGACATGAGACTGCTTGACTGAAAGTCTGACTGTGGCGAAGTAGCATGTAGACATATTCCATATGATGTCGTTACTGGAAACCTGTGTATTTCTCTTAAAAAATTCCTTTCACTCTCTTACACATTTCCAACTCTTTTTCTTCTTGTTCTTCTTAGTCATCATGTTAGAATCTACCCCCATGTGTTGGAACCTAACTAGCGCACTACAGACTGGGCTTTGTCCGGCACTCTGTCTGCCTTCTATGTCTGGGCTGCTGCTCTGACTGCTACCACCACGGCCTTCCCTCTTCCCATTAAATTAAATAAAAATAAAAATAAAATAAAATAAAATAAAATGAAACAATAAAATAAAATAAAATATAAAATAAAATAAAATAAATAAAAAATAGTAAAGTAAACAGTAATATAATAAAATAATAAATAAAATAAAATATAAAATAAAATAAAATAAATAAAAAATAGTAAAGTAAAATATAATATAATAAAATAATAAATAAAATAAAATATAAAATAAAATAATCATCAAATAAAATAATCATCAAGTAAAATTAAGTTAAGTTAAATTAAATTAAATTAATAAAATAAAATATAAATTAAAAAAATGAAAATATGCCTTGGGGGTCAGCTCTGAGATAGTGACTAAACACAGATTTCGCTGGTGGCTTTGAGGATGCATTTTCTGCCTGTCTGCCTCTGCCTCTGACCCCTCTCACGAGATGTTCTCCTGCATGTTTTAGGCATGAGTGGTGACAATTTGCTTTGTACTCCATGAATATTCATAACCAATAAAAAATAAATAAATAAAAAGGCACAGCTCTAAGAAGAGTAAAAATATCGGGATGTCTCATCCTTATGATGTTAAAATAAAGTCAATTCAGAAGAGGAAAATCAGTCTTTTCACAACTAAGCACCAAACACACTGTTGGTCATGGATCATCTAGGCAAACTTGAACTAATTATTTTTCTTGTTGTTTTTACATTCAGACTTTGACATGCATGCTATGGCTACACAATCCCCAAATTCAATGCCCCTGTGGTTTTTTAATATAATGAGAAAAATACATTTCTGTTCATTTGTTAATATTAGGAATTCCTGATTCTGATATCCTGCTTAGTAAGAGATTTTCACTATTTTAAATGACTAAGAAATTGTGTTTTAATTTTGATAACTATACCTTTAGACAAAATAAGACTAGGGATTATTCTGTAACATTATATCTTTTTCTCTTTCCCCATTTCTTCCTAAATAAAATTTTTTGCATAAATACATTGTACTTATCAATAGCTATAAGTTGGTCCTTAAGAAAGCTTAGACACTTAGCCACAAGAATGAGATATATTGGGCCCTAATTTTTAAGCACCTACCATGTGTATGCCGATCTCTGTGCAAAGTGTTTTACATGACTTAAACATAATTCTTTACCTTCTGAAGGGCTTAATCCTTAACAGCCCTCCCCACTTTACAGATGAGGATGTTAAGGTTCAGTAACCTGCTTGAGTCCCAATATTGGAATGGAACAGAATTTGAAGCCAGGTCCGCGTAGCTTCCTGGTTTATGCTCTTTTTCCCTGCAATACTTTTGCCTCCTGGGTGACCTGGCTGTGTTTTCAGGAGGTTTTCCCACAATCTCCTCCCACCACAAAAATGCACGGTGAATATTAGCCTTCCTATATTTTGTCTTTATCTTTCTGTTATTTTGCATCTTTGGGAGAAAAAAAAAAATACTTCGGGACATTCTATGTGTGGCTTGATCAGTATGTATCAGTCCTGTGCTGCCACATATGAAAACAGATGTTAAGTGACTTCAGAAAATTGTGTCATAGCACAATTAGAAAGAAATAGATCCTTGGAAGTAGATAATAGATAATAATACATTTTTAAAATGTGGGTTTGCTACACTGTTCAATTTATGTGCTTCTGCAGCTGACGAAGAGTATGAAGATGGGATTGAAAGGACATGCGACACGCTCCTTATGTGCATCGTCACTGTGCTGAACCAGGGCCTCAGGAACGGCGGCGGCGTGGGGGATGTGCTGAGAAGGCCGTCCAAAGATGTAAGCCCCAGAAAAAGTATTTTTTCAAGAAGCATATAATAATTTTTCTTAAAACCTTTCTTAGCAGCATTTCCAACACGGTTTTCATTTTCAGGGTAATATGTTATATCATTTGCTTTAAAAATATAGTGGTTGCCATTAAACCAATTAATTATATACAAGGATTACATAAAAATAGTTTGTGTACTAAAGACCTATATATGTTAGTAGGTTATGAAATGTTTCCAAGTTTGGACTGTGTGTTGTATGACAGCAGGGAAACCATGGCTGTAAACTTCGTATGAGTCGATTGTTACATAAATAACAAAACAGGGCTGCCTCTTGTCTATCAGTTTCCTCAGGCATGAAGATTTACTCTTTGCTTCTGCATAGGAATAGCCTCCATTATTTATCCATGATGAATGTAACATTTGAACAAATTCTAACAGGATTTCATGTTTTAAAATGGCAAGGTGGAGACATTTCTCTCTAGTTGCAAAATCTTAAGTGCCAGGCTGGGAGCTTGAAAACTCTTAGTTCTATAACAATCCAGTTGTATCATGTTGTCAAGTCATCTAACCTCATAACCTCAGGCCCCTCACCTATTAAACAACTGGATTACATGATCTCTAATGTGTATCTTAATACTGCTCATCAGGAAGAGTTAGCATGAGCTGTATGTACTTGACCCTGTAGTGCCAAGAACAAAAACCTAGTCCGGAAACTGACAAATCATGCCCTCCTCAGCAATCTAATCGCTGATCTTTGGAATTGGTAGTTAACTACCTTTTGTATAGGGTCTGGGATAAGATCCTCTGTGCATTTAGCAGAATGACATCATAAAGTGCTTTCTAAAGAAAAGTCCCTCCATTGGGGGAAAATATATGTCAGTCCTAGAGAAATGGAAGGGGACTGAGAACAGGCGAGTAAGTTTCTCTTGCAACACTTAAAAGAAAATAAAGATAAAAGTGGGTCTTATTTTTCCAACTTAGGATACTAATGACATCATAAAGTGCTTTCTAAAGAAAAGTCCCTCCATTGGGGGAAAATATATGTCAGTTCTAGAGAAATGGAAGGGGACTGAGAACAGGCGAGTAAGTTTCTCCTGCAACACTTAAAAGAAAATAAAGATAAAAGTGGGTCTTATTTTTCCAACTTAGGATACCATTTATATGCATTTAACAAACATTTATTAAGTGTATTGTTTATGCTAGACAATGTGCTCAATCAACATGACTTGAAAGTATGTATGTATTATATACATATATATTTTTATTTTTTAATTTTTATTTCAGGAGCCCTTGTTTGCTGCCCGAGTGGTTTATGACCTTCTTTTTTATTTCATTGTTATCATTATCGTTCTTAACCTGATTTTTGGTGTCATCATTGATACCTTTGCTGATCTCAGAAGTGAAAAACAGAAAAAAGAAGAAATTCTAAAGACAACCTGTTTCATCTGTGGTAAGTGTTCTCCAGATGATAAAATAATAAGTGAATAAACTGTTTAGCAGGACAGAGGAGCTAGAATGATGTCTATTTGTCATGCTTTTGGAAAAATTATTTCAAAATGAAGACTGGATAAAATTCAGATTATGTAACTGCGCATTAGACTGGAATTCTCTGCTTCCATAAATAGGGGAATTACATCCCAAAGCTATGCTGTCATTATTTCTCCAATTTGTATGATTCTCTGACTACAGAATATGATGCAAATGCCGAAAGGTTTCACCAACTGGTCAACAGGTGTTAAATTATTTATTGCACAACAGAATGCTTTTTGTTTTATTTTGTCAGATTTTGAATCTGAGGATGATTGCTACCTTGCGTGTTAAGGGAAATGACAGAGAGGTTCACAGGAGCTGTGGGTACTCAGAGGAGGGATACTTCTTCGGGTTGGGGTAGAAGAGTCAGGAAAGCTCCTTAGAAGAGATGGTGACCAAGCTGATGGTAAAAGATGCAAAGGAGTCAGATCAAAGTGGGTGGGAGCAGAACATCCAGGATAAGCAGAGGCATGGAGGGGAAGAGCAGCACAGTGAGTGTCTTTATTTGCTCTAAGCAGCTCAGTGTTGCTGAGCATAAGTCCAGAGCAAGGTGTGCTGAGGGAAGAGGTTGGCCAGATCATGCATGACTTTTATGTTAGGCAGCTCGGACTTTGTCCTATAGACCTGTAGAGGATGGTGAACCATTAAAGAGCTGGAAATAGAAGACTACAGGGTCTAATTTTTGTTCTGAGCACTCTGGCAGCTGTGGGAGTCATTCATTAGGGGATAGATAGTACTCGAGGCAGAGTAACCAGATAGGAGGTTATTGCCACAGTCCAAGTGAAAAGTAACAAAAGCTTGTTCCAGAAAAGTTCATGGTGGCAATATTATGGGTAGAAGGCAGAGACAAGAAATACTTACGAGACAGAATTTTTATATCTTGATGGTTAGGATTGGGTATGAAAGATAGCTTGGGTGCCTGGGTGGACGGTAATTCCAACAGTTGATTGAGTTTGAGAATAGATGAAAAAAGCAACTTTAGGTAGGAACATGCTGAGTTTAACTTTGGGAATGCTGAAATTGAGGTGCCTAGGGAACATCCCAGTGGGAAATATCCAGTGCAGGTGAATGTACGAGTCTGACCTCAGAGAATGAGTCTGCACTGGAGGAGTAGTCGGGGAGTCCTATGTGTGGTAGTGAAATCTGGAGCGTGGTGGAAGGCTTTGGGTGAGAAGAGAGGCGATGGAGTACGAGTGGGAAGCACCAGCTCTGAGGAGTTAGGAGAGAAAGAGGAATGCACACCAAAAAAACTGAGAGCACAAGGCAGACTGGTTTGAGGAGGACCAGGGCTGCGTGGCACGTGGATGTGAGGGGAGGAAACAGCCTTGGGAACAAGGGAGTTAACTATCAACTCTGTCAAAGGAGAAGGCCAATAACATCAACTGAAAGAGCCCTTAAGTTTCTCATTTAGGAGGCTTTGGTTACTCCAGGTAGAGCAAATTGCACAATGCCGGGTAGGGATTTACTAGAAGGAAATTGAGACAGTCTTTTCTTCTTATGTCTAGATTAGATGGGGGGAGCAAGACTGAGATGCAGCCAAAGGAGATGTCATACAACAATTCAGGGGATTGGGGAAGAGAGAAACATGGCTAGAGGCTGAGAGGATACTCCTTCAACCTTAGAAGTTAAATAATCTTTGAAAAAACGTACCATATCCTGTCTATATTTTCTACTTTTTCTCTTCTCTATGTGAAACCTATCACCTCTTCCATTTCTTCACAATAAATTTCTGTGTGTTTCCTTCCTTTCCATCTCCTTTTAACAGATCCCTCAGTCTTTCAAAGAATAGTCCTTTACTTCACCTGTGTCCTTGATCCTTGTATACGTCACTGCTTCTGGGCCATGTCCCCTCTTTTAGTATCATCATCATCAATATTGTTTTGAAAATAAAATATGGTTATTTATTGAATACTTGCTACACAGCTGTTTTTTTGCTTAGTTTTTTTTGTTTAAATTTTATTCTAAAAAACAAATACTATATATGACGTATGTAAGCACTCCTTTACAAATATGGAAGCAGAGACTCAGATCCCATCAACATTCAGTTAGTAAGCAGTAGAGCCAGGATTACCTAATTCAAAGGTCTCCTAAGCTATATGAGTCTCCTTAAATATCAAGTCATAGTCAGGTTCTAACTCAAGGACAGTCAGGCTGGGTACAGATCCGGATTGAGGGGTGTGGCGTTACAGGGCAGAGCCATTGTATGGAAGAGGGAGTCTCACCAGGAATAAAAGATGCTGCCCTTGAAAACCTTTCTGTGTGTCTCCTGGTCTTTCTTATACACTGCTTCCTCCAAGCCCTTTTCTTCATGGCCATAGTAACGATCATGTCGGTGCACTACCTCTGAAAAAAGCTCTCTTTGGAAGAATGGGCCAGATGGATGGGACCCTCTTTTTAAGACATGACCCTGTCTCCTGCATTCTAACAACAAAAAGCATGAACATCAAAATAAGCCTGTCCCTTTAGCACAATTCCTGCTCCTTTCAGTTTTCCCTTCACTGTGAAAATTCTCTGGCTTTTCACAGTTATTTAAAAGCCTATAACCTATAAACTCCTTAAAACATCACAATAACTGTCATCACCAAATTCAAATGTTCTTTTCAAATTTCACTGTTATTTCCTGCTGACCTTCCCCACCTCCGATTGCTTATTCTCTGGTTCTGTCACAG